TTTTCAAGTATTATTTGTAGAATTGCATCTCTTTTTGGTTACTTGTTTTAATTTCACTTATTAAATACATTTTAAAGTAGTAAATGACGTTTTTTTCAAAGAAAAGCATTTGCGGTGATGATGATGAAAGATTTTAAAAGGCGCGCCCGCTGGAGGGTTAAATTGTGCTTTTCTTATAAACCTGGTTATAGAAAATATTCTTACCAGTAAACAGCAGACATTCACCTTTTTGTCTGTTCCAGCATGCAACTCCGACTCAATTTCAAATCAGCTGTTTTTTACACTGCTGCCAGTGTTGAGCATCTCTAGCTCATAGCAACTTCGGCCGAATATAAAATTTCAAAAAGTAGCTTCAATACGCCTAATCTATCTACAGCTGTAAATACCCAGGATTTTTAGATTTCATTTTGCATAAATTGAAAAACACCAGTCACGTCTTTCAGCTGATTTTAGACGCAGATAAACGCGAAGTCTTTGTTTATAGCTAAAATGAGGGTCTATGTCAACTATGCGTGAAAATAGTTGTTTACGATTGTCCACTGTCATTTTAACCTTCAAAACATATTTCTGGGCTCAGCTCACCGCTTAATTTGGCTTCAATCCCAATTTTATTTAAAAACTAACGTATTTTTTAACAACAATTAACTAAACAACTTTTTTTTGATCTACTTCAAGCCCCTGGTAACAGTGGCCTTCCACTCGAAGCGTTGTTTCTGTTCAGTTGGGCGGTTTTTTGCCGGACTTTCTTTTCCTAGCAAATCTGGATGATAAATTGGAAAACATGATAGCTGCCTCAGACCCATTGGTAATAATTAACATCATTGTTGCATGAATTGTAAGTTTTTACAATGATTTCCAGGAGTTCATTCCCTGTGGTCGGCAGCAAGTTGCTCGTCACCCAGGGCCGGTAGAAACAATCTCTAAACATACAGACTTCGAAGACTATCTGCGAAATGGTATGGAAAAGGTGTCCCTTTCCGAAGATGGGACCAAGGAATTTTGGAGTTTGAGTAAGGCCAAAGATGACCAATTTCTGCCCATGTAAGACAATGTTCAAAAATCTTAACAGTTTTATGTTAATTAATTAGTAGTTTGATAATTATCTAGATGATCAGGTCTTTGCGTTCACCGTTAGCACATGCTCGTCTTATAGATAATCCCTTTTCCAACAACTTTTCTTAGTGGTATTTTTTTGCAAAAATGTGGGTTTTGACCACTTTTCATTCATTTAATTTCAGTACTTGTCCTTAATTAAGATAACAAAGGACACCATCAGTGGAGGAGTTTGTTCTTGTCTCAAAACTTGCCAGATTTTCACTAAAATAGCAAATCTCTAGCTGAATTCTCATTGGTAAAAAGAAAAAAGCAGTTAAACACCCTAGCCAATACTGCCAAAACAAGCACTAAAATAATCGAAATTAAACCAAATACCTACAAAACGTGTCTAGATACCCCTACCTACCCAAAGATAAATAAAATATAGATTAAGCAAATGCTCGACAGTCTTCGGACTCCGTCGCACCAAAATCTGTGAGAGGGAGTTGATAATATGAAAAATCGGCATGACCCATCAATTTTATTTATAAGGGGTACACTTTAAATGAATATTTTTGGCCTCCTTATTTCAATCCCCTAGGAGGCTAGATGTCACCATAAGAATCTTAAATGGGACGGGGGGTCAAGTGGCACATTGTTTTAAAGGGCGTTCAATTCTCTTTACAGTTTTTGGTTTTACAGAAACAATTGTATTGGGCCTCCTTGTAGGTAATTCAAATGATTAGAAAAGTAGGTTACAAAATCGTTGAATAACAGGAAGAAAATCTAGTTTAAACATTGATTTCTTATTTTTAATTTTGATCTTATTTCTTATTTATTAATTATTTTACATCGACAAAAATAACTTTTTAATAGCGGATGAGAAATACCTACAATAAAACCTGTATCATCTACTTACGCACTATCCTAGAACTTGTTCAAGTGTTGTCAATTTTCCTCTAAGCAATAATGTCTGTTTTTTAACTCTTCCATAACATTTCGGAAAACTTCACCTGGAATTGACCGGCAGTCTGCTGCAATTCGCCTTTTAAGATCAATATCAGAAGGTTGTGTTTTATAAACAATGGACTTAGGATGCCCCCAAAGAAAGAAGTCTAAAGGTGTTCAATCTGTTGATCTTCGAGGCCATTCAATTGGTCTCCTTCTGCCAATCGATCTTCCGGGAATATCTTATCAATGTTAGGGAGGGTTCGAAAATAGACATTATTATTGTTTACAGGAAAATAGACAACATTTTGAACAACTTAAAAGGTAGTGCGTAAGTAGACCCCCTGGGTTTTATTGTAAAAATTTCTTCTCCGTAAATAAAAAGTTATTTTTCTCGAAGTAAAATAATCAATAAATCAGAAATCAATTATTTATACTATGTTTTAACAGTGTAACTGAATATTCTAATCATTTGTACTAAGTATACGGAGACCCAATGACATAAGTTTTGTTTAAACACTAATATGGAAACCACACAATCTCAATGCAGGCAAGTTTAATTGTTCTTGTAATTTTTTAAAACGCGATTATTCGAACACTTCTGAACAAAAAGCAACAAAGTAGTAACTAGTGTAAAGATAATTGAACGCCCTTTAAAACGATGTGCCCCCTTACCCATTTAAGATTCTAAGGGTGACATCTACCCGCCTTGGGGGGTTGAAACAAGAAGGCTAAAAATATTCATTGTGTTCTTACAAATAAAATTCACGGGTTTTTTACCGTCCGGTCTCCGATTTTTCATATTTTAAATCGCAAGCAATATATTGAGGGTGGGAAGTTTTCAAATTGGCACCCGGTATGATCCCAAATAGTGCCAGTACTTCATATTCTATTCATGCGGAATGTTACTCTTTTGTTACTTTAGAACTCACGTAGAAATACGGGAAGATTCATGCAATTGAATGTTAGTCATAATTTGTAAAATATGGCTTGGAAAATAATGGTTCCATGCGAATTCGCGTCTTTCTCTATCAGAATTAAGAATATTGGAACAGGGCAGTGGGAGGATACAACGAAATATATGAAATGACGACAAAGACATATCCAAAGCAATGGAAGTCCTCATAAACACTTTTTTGTATTAATTAATTTCAGTGTCGACAATGAAGAAGTGCCCGCACTGAAATTGAATAAAACTTGTAAAAGTAACACATTTTCGTCAGTTTCTAAACACCAGATGCTTAGTGGTGTCTTATTGGAAGAAACTACTAGTTTTAAAACGACAGAGAGTAGCCTCTATCAAAAGATTACGAGTAAAAGATCTTTGGATGCCAGCGTTAGATTTCCTAATAAACGATTCTCTTCTGGAACGATGGATAAGAGGAATGATTCGAAATATAGTGAAGATTTCAGCAAAAGCCGGGGTATTTTTATTCTAATGTCTGTGAAGCTTGAATGCTATTTATTATTTCAAGGTAACTCTGTGAGTCCTGAGCCTTCGAGCCCACACACTCCCATTAATCGTGTTGCTATAGAAGATGAGCTTTATGTAAAAGGGCAAATCGCAGTGTGGTCTCGAGGAGTTTTGAGTGATAATGAACATGATAATGGAAGGAAGGTACCTAAATATAAAAATTTCCAGCAGTTAACAATTGTTTTTAAAGTGCATATGTAGAATTATTCTACTTTTAGGTGATATGTTGCTACTCAATTCCACTACCGATAAAACAAGCTTTGTGGGCAACTTTCTATTGCGAAAGGCCGACTTTTGAGCCGAATTTAACAGATTTATATTCCAAGATAGATAAACCATGCGGTATGAAAATATTACGGAAATTTCCGAACTGACTCCATACAAATAAATTAATAAATTAATCCTTTATAGGGGTACCAAATCCTGCAGTATGTATTATAGACTCGCACCATGTGAGAGTGTTTATTGTGAAAGGCGAACATTTTGTAATACCAATGCCGTTTCCTATAGAGAAAGTATGGAGTTCAAAGTTCGGTATTTTAATTGAAAAAGGGCTCGATAGTAGGTGTATTAACAAACGTTCAGTATAACTTTTTATGATTGATTTTTTTGCAGATGCAAATTATAATGAAAACAGTTCAGCAGATAATTCTGGAACTTTATTCTCATTAGCCTATCCTCTTGACGATGTATGTCCAGTGGCAGTTTCTCGAAATTCGGCAATTACGAAATTAACCAGTACAAATTATAAAGTGGTTTATACTAGTGAGAATCCGAGTATCTGTTTGATATTCGATAAACAGACCAAAGAACACAGCGTTTATAAAATTCGCAAAGTGAAATGCGACGAACGGGATTATGGGGACAATCAGAGTGGTTGTCACAGTGTAGCGTTCAATTCAAATCGCGTAAGAAACTCTTGTTATCCCATGCCTCATAAAAATCACATTAAATTATCAATTAAATATTTATTATTCCAACTAATGGACTCTGATCCAATGTGATTCACTGCAAGTTAGTGATATAATAGTTGTTTAATTTTCCAGCTTAAAAGTAAATTATCCATGTGGGAAAATCTTATGACAAGTGGTAGTATAGTTACTCCTAGTCCTATTAGCACAAATAAGCAGGCTTCGAGTGATAAACATTTGAATACTCACAAATCAAAGTCATTCAGTTCAATGGCTACAATAAGGTAAGGAAACATCCAGTTATTTTCAAAGTAATGCAATTTTCTTGTAATTAAGAAAAAAGTAAGAAAATATATTTTTATTCAAACTAAGCATGGTTTAGTGCTTGGTATGAAATAACATACATGCAATTGATATAAATATCAGCAATGAAAAATGTTTATTAATTATTTCAGTCGTTGTCAGTCACCTGGAAATATGGACATGGACAGTCCATGGGTAAATCAATCTTCCAAAAAGAGTATTATAAATAGAAGTACAACGCAAAACCCAGATAGTTTATTGTCGAAATCATACTTCAATTCTTCAAAATGTATGTCTCATTTAAGATCGAACCCTAATATATGTTTGGAGTATTTATGGACTGATACTTATTCAGTACAGTAAGTATAATTCTGATTTAGTTTAACTTAACAAAGTATTGTTTGTAGTTCTTATAACGCATGTAATACTGCTCAATGTTTTTTCAGGGATACTCTTACAGGTTCGCCCGCTACCACAGTATTTCTCACGGAAGATTTCGTTGGCCAGTGGTATCTGTGCTATGTATTACCTTCGCGGTTTCAACTTTCAATCGTAAAGATCGACTTTTCAGGCTCACATATAAGTTTTGGCGTTTTAACGAGTATCAGTGCAAAGGATGCCATTGAACTTCCGGTATTATAGTTACACATTTCTTATTTCAATCATGTTTTGAATAAAAGTGTATTCAAATTTGTTGCTCAATTTAAATTTGCTTTCACTGAATAATAAACAGTTTGTCTAATAATTATTTTTTTTGTATATAGCAATTACATATGTTGGCCATTTTGGAGCACAATGGAAACGTTACGCTTTACTCGGGGCTTACTATGGTAGGAAAATTGCACATAAATGGAACGTTATTGCAACATACTCCTATGCCGCCCGCTGGTAGACAAAACGAGGTATCACCCTTTCCTCGGTAAGAGTTATTTACAATATCATGTACAAATTAATTCCTGGAAATTTTACGTGTGAATCTTAACTTCTAGACGCAGTAGTCTGCTGCCAATGTCAAGACAAGCGGAACCAAAATTCGATGAGCATCTTTTATCCCCAGTTTTACCATCATATTCACAAAATCAAGAGTATATTTTACCAGCCGGTGGACATCCAACGCCATTGCGATATAGATTTCAAGATCGTAAGTAAATACATACTTACACCTCAGATTAAGCAGATACATTTGGTTCCGTTTTTCGTTTGGAGCAACAATGACAATCTGACCTAACTGTTATTAGCAAAAAATATATGGCTCCTCAGCTATTTATGGTCAGTCCTTCAAAAAATTTGTCTTTTTTGAAATATCGGGAGAATGGTTCCATGTATTTTAGCGAAACTTGCTGTGAATTTGTTCTTATATAAGACTCATATTTTGATAAAACACTCGAGTTCCGCCGTTTTGGAGAAGCGGTGAATTCTTAAGTGTCGTGGTACAAAAACTACCAGAACTTTTTATTTGGTGGATGGAATCAACTCATTTTTTTGGATGGTTCACTAATAATTTATTCACAATGTTGTGCTCTTTGTAAAATCTTGTAGCATTCGTAGTTTTTGCGCAAAAAATATGTCTGTTTTCTTGCCACTTAAAAATGTTAGTAATTCACATATCAAGCGAATTTCTGATATTGCTTATTATGCAAACTTATATTGTTTTTCCATTTGAGTATCGAAAAGTTAGTTACCTGAAGGTTCCGCTCTGGGAACTGGACCACCTTGTATATTAAAACATTCTATTACGAATGTGCAATGCACTAATCGATTTTTTATACACTTTTATTTTTTATTGCCATTTTTTATTCGCCAAGTAAAAATGTTAATAATTGAGATGGAGTTTTAACATTATTCAGTCTATCGTTCAATTGCGTAAGTGTTTGAGTCATATCATTGCCGATCTCTTGAGAACTTCTTTTTTCTTTTTTAAATGTCTGTTTCTGTTGCTGTTGGTCGCTATCAAGGTGGTATTTTAATACATTTTGATCGTTTCTAGTCTGAAAATGGTTACCGATATTGAAATGCGGTTTGAACATGAAAGTTTCTAATTTCGCAAACTTTTAGTATTGCAAACGAAGTACTGACGTGTCGTTTTTTCTGAAAAGGTTTAGTATGTTGAAAAAGCCGTTGAACAATCAGCAACATTTCTGTCCTAACCGCAATTCAACATCAAATTATAGATAACCATAGGTTCAACCTTAAATGCACTTTTTTAATATATTTTTTTCAAGTTTTAATATTAAAAAACTGACAAAATTTTGGAGTGTTTGATGCGCCACGCCAATTTTCGTTCCTTATTTGAATAAGCGACTGTGGTTACCTGTATGTTTAGGAAACGAAAGTTTTTAAAGAGTTCCATGCGATTCCGAACGTAATCTTACCAAAATGCATAACACTGGCCAATCGCGCTCTGCTCGCGTTGTACGTCTGGACGCGGCACTACGTTGTATTGTAGTTTTTTTTTGTTAAGAAAATGAATTGCATTTTTCGGAAAATCCAAATATTGCAATTTTTTTGTTCGGGTGAACGGGTATGAATTTTTAGGAAATCGCTTGTGATTTCAGAAGGCTGCAGACTTTTTCGGTCTGTGCATCCCAACATTCAACTTGCATGCAACTTAATTAATACACGTGCCAACTTTTCTGGTGCGCTAGTTTTATTGGCACCACTAAATCCATGCATGTGTAAACGCGCCGTAATGCAGGATTGTACTTACTCGCCTATTAACAAACCCATATAAGAAATTTGAAATATAAAGAAAATCGATTTCCAATTACAAAAATTTATATTGTAATTGGATAGGCTCTTTTTTTTACAGGTGCAGGAAAGAAAGCCGTTCTTGTGGGCCTTATAGATTCCGTTGAAAACCGCTTGACTCTGAAATACTCCAATGGAACTTTCTATAGAATTACACTGTCCGTTATTACATATTCTGAATTAATCGAGTGTTGTCTAGTGGCTCTTAAACAATGTTTACCTAGAGATGCTGCTCTGGTTTTAGCGTGTAGGTGGTACTCTGCTCGACACGTAATTGGTTCTGAGGATCTAGACACTACTCAGGAATGGGACATTTTTACCAGTATTTTGTTTGGTATGTTTTACTTTAATACCTTATGAATTATGCTCGATTTGGACTTTTCAACGAAAAGGACCGGGTTGCAGAAATATTCTGTTTTAGAATTACTTGGTTATGAAGATGACCAAATATGCGATAAACCAGAAATCCCCGCCGTAAAACGACAGAAAACGTCGCCCTCCAGCGCAGTCGAAGATTGGTCCAATTTATTGAGCTCAGATATTGAAGTGCGAGACATTATTTGTGAAATGTTTAATTTACAAGTATCGCCAATCGTCGACAAACCGCCCAGTTCGAATACCTCAAAAATATCTGTTAATCCGAAAGGAATTTTATTTCCTCATCTTCGGAATATTCACTTCACTTTGCACCTTCTCTATGAAGACTTTAAACTCAATAACTTATATGGTCAGTGCGTGCTTCCTTTGGCAAAGCTTTTAAGCCAAATATCCATCAACTTGGGACTAAGAGATTATACATTGCACTATTGGAAGGATTTCCCAAAATATGTAGCGGTGAAAGGTCCAAAAATTGACGAAGCTCTATTCAAATGTTTTAACGTATGGCAAGGCATAAGCGAGAAACCTGTAAGTGTTATGGCTCATATATACAAATTGTTAAAAGGCCACAATTTGTTACCTTATCCACATTTCATGAATGTAAATGGAAGATCTCGGGATATTGTTCAAGTGAGTTACACACTCTATTTGAGAATTTTATATGATTGCTTCCAATGGATATTTACAGTTATGTGGGGTTCTTTCCCAATCAAACCGGGACGGATCATCGGAAATCTTACTCGATAGTTTCATAAGGGAACTTGCTCAGCCCATGCAGGACTCGTCTCACGTAAAGCATCAGAAAAGCAATACGGTAGATTGTAGTCTCAACGAACAGGTTGCTTTACTTATGGTTGATATGAAAATTGATACAAAGTAAGTGTTGGGTTCTCATGGAATTTGAAACAAACAGAGTGACCCTAATTTGTATAAATGGAAAAAGATAATTCTTAGTTTGTTTTGTGACTAAAGAGTCGAGGTATGTACGCTAACCTGTTTGCCCAGACCTGATTGTTCTTGTATGAAAAACTTTATATGTCCAACAAGGTTTTTTGTGTTTTTTTTTTAAACGCACGAAGTTTTAAATGTTTAGCCCACACTTAAAATACAGAGTGTTTTATTATCATACCGACTAGGTACATAAATTCACATATTTTTGCGTTATAGGCATATCCTAAACATGTCCTACAGCAAAGCGTTGGACATTTAATAAATAATATTTCATATTTTATTTTTTGGCATAGTTTTTAAACATTCCACATAAAACATTCTAATTCAAGGCAGAAAAAACCGATATGAGTCGATCACCGCACGTCAAGACCTGACTACTCTGACGTCACGAGGAACATTTCGATGTGAGAGTGAGTGAGAGCCGGCCTACTCTAGTTCTGTGGTATCTCACCGACTCGGCCTACTAGTGACTAACGTCACTCTAACGAGCAATCAGGCCTTGATTTGCGGTGGTGCCGGTCGAGAGCCCTTTGGTATGAATAAGAATTTTTTGCTACTACTACTACTACTACTAATTTTATTTAATGTTTTAATACATTTTATAAATTTTGCAAATCCAAATTATGCATGTTTTTCAGTAATTAAAACCGATTGCTTCATTTCAGCAACGTACTCATAGATAGTTATTGCCTAAAAATGCGGTTGCTGCAAATGTTTAAATTTTAGTGTTAATGCAACTAAAATGCTAAAATGTTCAGGGAAGCATCGAACTCTGTTGGACTAAAAATCAACACCAAAAAACCTCAATACATGACAAATCTTGTTATGATTGAGGTAATCAAGATAGGTGGAGCAAGCATAGAGCAAGTGAGCTCTTATAAATACCTTTGTCACGAAATCTCTATTGGTAGAGACAACCAGAGTAGGGTAAAATATCGAGAAAAATGGGCCTAACATGGGCGGCCTTTGGAAAGCTGCGCAATATCTTTAAGTCAGACATCCCAATATTCTCATGAAGAAAAGTTTTCGACCAGTGCATGTTGCCTGTGCTTACGAACGGGGCTGAAACACTTTCCTCACAAAACCTGAAACACCCTCACGTATCGCGCAGAGAAAAATGGAGAGATCGATGTTATCGTTAATAGACAGGATCCCAAATATAACATTAAGGGAAATGTCCGGGGTGACGGACGCGGTTGCCCGTGTAACAACCTTAACATGGAACTGGGCCGGTCATGTGGTGGAACTTTCGGACAATCGCTGGACAAAGAGGATACTTGAGTGGAGACCGCGCCAAGACGCAGACAGAAGTAGAGGCCGTCCACCAAGCAGATGCACCGACGACATCAAAAGGATAAAGACCAACTGAATAGAGGCAGCGCAGTATCGACAAAGGTGGAGAAAGCTACGGGAGGCCTATGTCCAGCAGTGGACGCGATTGGTCGTTTGATTAATTGAACTAAAAAGACAAGTTTTTTTTACGACGGAATGCTGTTGATTTTTTGTTAACTCCTGATTTAGCAAATTTAGTAAGTTTGTTCAAATTTTTCAGATATATCGAGACGCTCCCAATCGGCATATATTACTTGTTTTACAATACTCTATGGAGATGTAGAGAGAATCCTCCAACTGATTGGCCGTCAGAAGCTTACCGTTTAATTTGGCGAGATGATTTAGTTGCACAAGCTGGGAGAGTTGCAATGGTATTTATAAGATTTTCTGTTCTATTTGACGATTTTATATGAATTACCTAATGAAAAAATATTGGTACAAATGTATTGTAAAATTTGTTTAACAAACAAAACTACACGTTGAGCGAAATTCGCTGGCCCAGTTCTATTATAAGAAAGTAAAAACACTGAACAAATTAGTCTGAAAGTAGGTTGCCGTAATGTCCATTTTACACCAGCTTTGTAAATTGTATTATTTATTTTAAAACTGAAGTGTTCAAGCGATCGATTTTTATCTGAGAAACAGCTGTTTTGTTATTTCGAAAAGATTCTGTTAATTTAAAAAAATATATACCAAAAAGTAAATTTCCAAAACATATTAACATTCGGCTTAAAATATAATTTTTCTTGATCCCCAGATGGAAAGTACACAGTTTTGTCCCTGTTTTCTATAGCGAAAGAATCACTTTTACTCATTACAATGATATGACAAGACAATGTACATTTCCGCTCATTATTATAGACGAACAGTCAAGTTGTCAGTGTGCGTTGCAAAAGTTATTACTTTCCACAAGGGATGAAGAAAATTTAATTTTCTTGATCCCCTGGTGGAAAAAACGTAGTAAATCGTATACGAGGGACAAGAAAATATGAATTTTTCTCAAGAATAAAAGACTTTTATTTTTGACAATATCGAAAATTGTTATTAAAGCAAGCTGATTAAAGTTTAAAAGTAGGTTCAGATATCTAATTGCACCTATGAGCATGATCATCAAGTTTTGTAATTTTTGACTTAAGTTTTTTATTACTAATTTGACGAAAAAAGTTACTCCCCATAAAAAACATGTTGCAAAATGTAAAATACAATCATTGTTTTTACCTAGCTACAGTTACATTTGCATTGGTATTTTAGTTCAAAAAGAAAAAAAACATCCATATAATTGGAGGTTATTGCATATTCGAAAGTAGTTTTTTGTTCTGATTAACTTTTGTTAATAACAATTTTCGATATTGCCAAAAATAAAGGTACTTTCTTGAGCATAATTCATTTTCTGATATACCACGTAAACGACTGAAAAAAATTAGTATGTGATAGTTACATTTTAGATTTTGGAGCAAGCAGAAGTTTTTATGAAGAACTACTTTTTTGTGAAATGTATATATACATATATATAAATTAATGTATGTTTGTCTGTCCATAAAAACTCCAAATTTAACCATGATCGCACCGAGTTACAAGGCTGACATTCCGTAGGTTTCTTAGTTTATTGGAGAGTAACTTCCTGAGTCTTTTAGTTTTTAAGTTACAATTTACATGTAAAGCTATGGGAAACAGCTTAAAATTGCTTCAAAACGGCTTAACCTTCCAGCGGTTTAATAAAAAATTCCACTTATCAGAATCCACTTTCCAAAAATTAACTTATGTAGTTTTTCCTAAAATTATCTTTCAGCGAATTTTAAAAGAAAAACTGAAAATATAGTGTACCCAGCAGCACTTCAGCAAAATAGTTCAATTGTTTGTTTCGTTTATAGTTTTGTTTAACCACATTTGTATTAATCAAAAGTAGGTGAAGCCTATCAAATCAATTAAGTTCATTCATTAACCCAGTAGAGTCTCATTGTAAATTGCGTTAGCTAGCAGATCTTATAAACTACCAGATTCATCAAACGTTATTTCATTTTTTATTCCAACAGTGTGTGCTATTGACTGTTTTCGAAAAAAATGCACACGTAAGTACAGGTCAACGTGGGCAACGCCACGGGTCGCTCCGCTGGTTAATAATAAAAAAGTTTTCCATATGTTGCGAACTTGGGTAAACACACTGTATATAAAAATGAAAAATGTATGCAATATTTAAAAAAAGTCCCTCATGGTTTTAATTTTAATTATTCTAGGAGAATCACAAAGTGTTGAAAGCAAAAATAGATTTCTGTTTTCAATTGCAAGAAACAATTCCTAATACTACTAAGGAAATCCCTCATATAGATGGCATGGAAGACATTGATTGTAACTTAACCAGGATGATCTTCCGCGAAGACATTCGGTAACACTTCTTTGAAAAATCTATTGAGCGAATAAGCTTTTATTTGTTGCTGTATTTTATCACAGGATCATGGATGCCAGAAAAATGTTAGATAGTTCTCAGCCAGTCACGATAAATTTAACGCAACGACCAGACGTCTCCGATCATGATTTTATCGAGGAAGAAGAAAAACATTTATATGGAATTTGTATCAGAACATTGGCTCTGCCTATGGGAAGGTTAGTGAGAGGCTACTTTCTTCAGGAAATTTGTCAACATAATTTCACAGTTAAAACTTCAAATTCATCCAAACTTCTATACAAGAAAATAACTAACGTAATATAATACCGAATTTTTCTAGGGGCATGCTAACATTGCGCACAGCCACTCCAATTATAACAGAACCTTTGGCGGCTCCTGTTCTTTGCTTAACTGGCAAAGCTCCTGCCAAAGGAAACACCGTGAAGCTCAGCCACATTGATACACCGGCAAATATGAATTTGTGGCCGTTGTTTCATAATGGAGTTGCTAACGGCCTTCGAATAACTCCCGATGCCCAAAACATCGATAGCACATGGATTATTTTCAATAAACCGAAAAGTACAACAGTTTTAAAGTGGCTTGCCTTATTTGAAACTTTGTCTCATATTGGAAATTCATTGGGACTTTAAAATTCATTTTTGGTGACCTATAAACTATTCCGGGTGCTCCAAAGAGATCTTATTGCAACTTGTACGGTGAAAAAAACTTGAGTTTGATACGCACCTTTTATTGGGGGCACCCTGTAGAATTGGAACAAATTTTAATATGTGGTACATATTCAACTTTTTACACCCATTAATTTCCTTATGAGTTAGAACCTCGAATGAGGTGAGCTACCCTATACGTATATTAGGCTTCAATAAGTGTTATTTAGGTGGGGCAGATGCTCAGATGGAACATGCGGGATTTTTAATGGCATTAGGACTCAATGGACACCTAAAGAACTTAGTGGTAATGAGTACTTTTGAATACATAGAAAATTCGCATGAAATGACCAGCGTTGGAGTATTATTGGGTATGTTTAGGAACTTCTTTGAGGTCTAAATGTAGTAATAATTCCTTATCGATAAATGGACTTATAGGACTTTCGGCAGCTTTCCGAGGAACTTGCAATCACTACCTTTCCACGCTTCTCGCAATACATGTAGAAGCGTTATTACCTCCAACCACTATGGAACTAGATATTTCTCAAAATTTGCAAGTTGCTGGATTATTAGGTTTGGGGCTTTTATACCAACGCAGCGCACATAGACACATGACAGAGGTATGCATTGATAAGTTTTTTTTATACTTTACTTAACTAATTAATAATACATTTTTGACTTAGGTTTTATTGGCTGAAATTGGTAGACCACCAGGACCAGAAATGGAAAATAGCGTTGATAGAGAATCATACTCGTTAGCCGCTGGTTTAGCTTTAGGACTGGTGATGCTAAAGCATGGCGATCAACCAAAAGGAATGTCTGATTTAAGTGTATCAGACACGTTGCATTATTATATGGTCGGCGGTAATAAACGACCTGTAACAGGTAGTAAAAAATGCACATATTTCTGCAGTATTATTAATGATGTTGTGTATGCAGGATCACAAAAGGATAAATATAAAACGCCATCGTTCCAAATCCGAGAAGGTTCCTCGGTTAATCTAGATTTAACCGCTCCTGGGTCTACTTTGGCGCTTGGGTTAATGTATCTGGGAACTGGGAATAAGGCTGTAGCTGATTGGATGGCTCCTCCAGCAACTCAATATCTTTTGGACTCGGTCAGGCCCGACTTTTTAATGTTACGGATTTTATCCAGATGTAAGTTGATGTAAAAATTATCTTAATCTTGTAAAGGTTTAATGAGTAAGTGGTGTTGTTTTTCGTATTTAGCTCTTATATTGTGGGACCACATTGAACCATCAAAGGAATGGGTAATTGATCAAGTGCCAAGCTCAATTCGTCCTTACTGCATGGTCACTCCTACAAATACAGACGACACAGACTATGAGTCTATGAAGTAAGTGGACTTTTTAATTCCATTTTTTTAAGGTTGGAAACAAACAAGGTTATTTTCATTACATTGTTACGTAGCAGTTTTTTTCAGGTATTCATTTACATCTGTTAGTTATTAACAATTTATTGCAAAAAACGCGATTTTGTCTTTTTTGTTTATAACTTTGAAACTAATGGAGCAATCGGAATGCCCAAATGAGATGGCTTGTGAATCAAAATATCTACAAAATGAGAAGTCAAACACCTCAATCGAATCGAAAATCGAGGTTCTGAGAAATTTAGAAAACACCGGAAAATTGGGCGTTTTTTTGGAAAATTCATAGCTCTGTGATTAGCTAAAATTTTGAGCAAAAGTAGGGATTATAATGTTCTTTATTCCCGTGTAAATTTAAATATGTTTTCGGACAAATAAATATTACTCTTATTATATGTGCTAAGGGCGGGTGCTGTTAAATTATTAGTTTTCTGCAAATCGCGAGTCAAAGTTTGCAGTCCGTCTTTTTCCGGCAGGCCTGTAGGAGTTGCCGAGTACAAGATCGATTATAATTTCAAAAAAGTTTTCAGAAGTTGACATCGTGCACTACAAAACGTACATTTCAGTTTTTTGGTCAGTTGCCTAGAAGCATGCTTAAAACCGTACTAAAGTTCGCAAAAACCGGCGGAGTGGTGGGKGAATTTGAACATCCGGTAAATCCATAGCATAGCATTTTTGAGCTACCGTTTATATAGAAAACTAGGGTTATTTTCGGACCTAGAATATGCACTTAATATGTAATAATGTTCCCCATAAAACACCTTGTATTTTAATGTTTCCTATAATTTTTTGCTTTAAAAACGAAAATCTTTAGCTAAAAAGTGAAAACCGTGTAGGTTCCTCTCAACATATTTAAATTGCTTCTGCTTGGCTCACTCTTACTCTTCAAACGGCTGATAAAAAATAGTTTTTTGCTAGCTTTAACTTAAAACACATGCGGTAATTACTCGTTTTTTA